AAATCCACACACACACACACAGACGGACAGACAGACATTCACGATTTTATATATATAGATTCTAACTTAGCAATCTTTGAAATACGTAATCGACCGGGCAATGCGTTAATTGTGTGTTGACCGACTCTCTGTGTCGTTTTACATAACATTTCGATACTTTGCTAGGTTATTTAATTTAGTGTGTTCTGTCTCCCTCTAAGCCTGCTTACCTTACTCCCCTCCCTTCGTACTCATTGACATGTAAATGTTTTCCCTACCCCCTCCCTCTCTCTGCCTCCGCCCCCCTCTGTCTATTTAAGGCCACCCCACAGAGACGATCACCTCTCTCTGTACCTGGGTTGCTCTCTCTATGTATCTTGGTGATATCTGTCTGCTTATATGTCTGTCTATAGTTTTCTGGTTATATTCTATGTCGCTATTTCATTATACCTGATGATGATTGCTTGTGTTGCAATCGAAACGTCGTATGCTATTATTTAATTTATTATTTTATTTTTATACGTGACTTTACCGAAAAAAACAAAGAATAATTCCTGCAGTCATGAAAGCTCCAAAATTAAGATTGAACCACTTCTACGGGGAAGTTCCAAGTTTACCTTTTTCTCTCTCTCTGGGTTTCTTGTTCTCTCTCTCTGCCTGTATATTTAGTGTAATTTTCTCTGTCTACACTCGTTTTGTATCGTTCTTAGGTTCTGCTCTGTCTGTGTGTCTCCGTTCCTCTTTTTTATGTTTTGTCTTTCTTTGGAATTTTCACACTTAAATTCTAACTTAGCAATCTTTGAAATACGTAATCGACCAGGCAATGCGTTAATTGTGTGTTGACCGACTCTCTGTGTCGTTTTACATAACATTTCGATACTTTGCTAGGTTATTTAATTTAGTGTGTTCTGTCTCCCTCTAAGCCTGCTTACCTTACTCCCCTCCCTTCGTACTCATTGACATGTAAATGTTTTCCCTACCCCCTCCCTCTCTCTGCCTCCGCCCCCCTCTGTCTATTTAAGGCCATCCCACAGAGACGATCACCTCTCTCTGTACCTGGGTTGCTCTCTCTATGTATCTTGGTGATATCTGTCTGCTTATATGTCTGTCTATAGTTTTCTGGTTATATTCTATGTCGCTATTTCATTATACCTGATGATGATTGCTTGTGTTGCAATCGAAACGTCGTATGCTATTATTTAATTTATTATTTTATTTTTATACGTGACTTTACCGAAAAAAACAAAGAAAGAAAATAAATTAAATAATATAATACAACGTTTCGATTGCAACACAAGCAATCGTCATCAGGTAGAAACAAACCTAGTGAACTTAGAAATACAATGCCATCCAACACAGAGAGTCGGCAAAGCATGACTTAGTACTTGGTGGCAAAACCCTTGTTGGCAATCACAGAGGTCAGACGTTTCTTGTAGTTGGCCACCAGGTTTGCACACATCTCAGGAGGGATTTTGTCCCACTCCTCTTTACAGATCTTCTCCAAGTCGTTAAGTTTCGAGGCTGACGTTTGGCAACTCGAACCTTCAGCTCCCTCCACAGATTTTCTATGGGATTAAGGTCTGGAGACTGGCTAGGCCACTCCAGGACCTTAATGTGCTTCTTTTTGAGCCACTCCTTTGTTGCCTTGGTCGTGTGTTTTGGGTCATTGTCATGCTGGAATACCCATCCACGACCCATTTTCAATGCCCTGGCTGAGGGAAGGAGGTTCTCACCCAAGATTTGATGGTACATTGCCCCGTCCATCGTCCCTTTGATGGGGTGAAGTTGTCCTGTCCCCTTAGCAGAAAAACACCCACCAAAGCATAATGTTTCCACCTCCATGTTTGACGGTGGGGATGGTGTTCTTGGGGTCATAGGCAGCATTCCTCCTCCTCCAAACAAGGCGAGTTGAGTTGATGCCAAAGAGCTCCATTTTGGTCTCATCTGATAACAACACTTTCACCCAGTTGTCCTCTGAATCATTCAGATGTTCATTGGCAAACTTCAGATGGGCATGTATATGTGCTTTCTTGAGCAGGGCGACCTTGCGGGCGCTGCAGGATTTGAGTCCTTCGTGGCGTAGTGTGTTACCAACTATTTTCTTGGTGACTATGGTCCCAGCTGCCTTGAGATCTTTGACAAGATCCTCCCGTGTAGTACTGGGCTAATTCCTCACCGTTCTCATGATCACTGCAACTCCACGAGGTGAGATCTTGCATGGAGCCCCAGGCTGAGGGAGATTGACAGTTCTTGTGTTTCTTCCATTTGCGAATAATCGTACCAACTGTTGTCACCTTCTCACCAAGCTTCTTGGCGATGGTCTTGTAGCCCATTCCAGCCTTGTGTAGGTCTACAATCTTGTCCCTGACATCCTCGTAGAGCTCTTTGGTCTTGTCCATGGTGGAGAGTTTGGAATCTGATTGATTGATTGCTTCTGTGAACAGGTGTCTTTTATACGGATAACAAGCTGAGATTAGGAGCACTCCCTTTAAGAGTGTGCTCCTAATCTCAACTCGTTACCTGTATAAAAGACACCTGGGAGCCAGAAATCTTTCTGATTGAGAGGGGGTCAAATACTTATTTCCCTCATTAAAATGCAAATCAATTTATAAAAAAATTTACATGCGTTTTTATGGATTTTGTTGTTGTTATTCTGTCTCTCACTGTTCAAAAAACCTACCATTAAAATTATAGACTGATCATTTCTTTGTCAGTGGGCAAACGTACAAAATCAGCAGGGGATCAAATACTTTTTTCCCTCACTGTAAATTAGCACAAGTTATGCAATACGTGCATTATAGTATCCTGTGTGTCAGGAATGTGTTCCATTTATTCCTTTTAGGTAATAACGACACAGCCATTATGATTCAGGAGTGTATACTACACCCTGAAGCAATTTAAAAAGTTATACAAGACGTTTAAATTCTCAGTTATTCACCTGCATGTGTTGCACAAGTGGCGATGTGTACATACTGCACCAGGTCGACCTACGCTACAGTCCCCCATCACACACGCACGCTGTGATGAGAAGACAAACCCAATTTAGGCCGTATAGTCGTTCACGGAACAATTCACATCAATGCATACAGACAAACTTGACATGCCTCGATGCATGCGTATTTGCATATTTGCATAGCTATTACCCACAAGCAAGCCTGATGAGACACTGTCGAAACCCATCCAGAATTTGCTAGTACTTTTCTGAATCAATGCTGCTGAAAGTAATCACTCCTAGAAAGCCGTGAGGCCATTGGGTGATCCAAAAAAAACTTCTATTTTTTATTACGTGGACAGACGGACACATGAAGGAGACATTGCTTATCTGTTTGAATTACCTACAAGGAATGCCAGTTTATTAGCTAACGTCAACACTGCATTCCACACACTACAATTCGATTTTTCTCACAGCCTTTAATGCCTCCTGGGACAGCAGACACCAACTTTGACATGAATAGGAGATTCAAGAGACCCATGTGCCCCCAGCTATATCCAACTATTTCTATGCTGCGATAGTTGTTGGCTTGGTGACCAAATTCTGTCTAGCCGCAACTCGCACTTGGTGCTCTCGAGAAAGGGAAAAAAGCATGAATGGGGCATGACCCAAATTGAGCGAATGGCTAGGTGTTTTTTGGTGGCATTGTGGTCAGCACATCCATGCGCATATAGTCTGCACAGCTGCCAATGATGATGATGTGGACGAAATGTTTATATTTTCTTTATGCAAGCCACCCACTTTTATTCAGCACATCCAATTGATTAATTCTGGTGTCAAAATGATGTTCTACTTTTAAGTGAAAATAAAAGTGTGTGCTTTTAAAAACTAGTTTTTTTTACCGTGAAATATATTCTAACAATTTAACTATTTAATTTTGCTAGGTAAGGCCCACTAGAGCTATATACTGTATAGCTCTTTTTCAGAAGCGACCTGGCCACAAATGGTAGCCCAATGAAGTGGCTTACGTGGAAATTATAGCAGCCAAATGCTCGAAGCACGTTTATAAATGAGGGAAAAACGGAGGACACTGAGAGAAATTCATGCGAGCACGGGGAGAACATGTTGAATCCAAATATAAAGGCGTGAAGGTGAGCATTGAACCCACGACCTCCTGTATACCAGGCGAGGTGGTTAATATCTCAGTACCGCGATATGTTAATTGTTAAGAACAACATCACGATAACCCTCAACGCCTATGAGCAAATCACCCGTATTTGGAATGTGCCCGATCTGGTCGGACCTCAAAAGCAAAGCAGCTCAGAGCTTGGACAGTGTCTGGATGTGTGGCCACCATGCACTAACATGTTGTTATAGGGCTGCGGGGCCATATTGTGTTTATATCCAGTTGTATTGTACGTCTATGCTGCCCACATTTACCAATCTGCACTGACCAGCCAGGGTTAAACGGCCTCCACAACCAGCACGGCGTTGGGAGGCCCTCATCCAGCAGTGGATTGACCAAATGTTTCTATGCTCCTACGGGCATTGTGCGGCGCTCATCCCCACCAGTGGAAATGTCACATTCCCATGGCAGGGATCATCATGAACAAGCACCGAAGACTTCGCACAAGGTGGTACCTATTTTATGACCCTGTCGAGATGACAATGATGGCTTGCCTATGGCAACCTTTGAGCCTACAATAAATGAAAGCATGCACATTGCTATTCAACAGTCTACGTAATGAAATGTTGATCGCACGCAGCACGAAGCACGGCTATTAAAATTAGAATTGCGATTGCCCCGATTGCAAAGTAGTGAAATGACATTTAGAACAACACGATACATATAACGCGTTTAATTGTCGTATTTGCAATCATTAAGTACTGTACGAAAACGGCAAGACACATAGAGACTGCAATGATATAATGCAAGCATCTGCACAACAGTGTATATCGCGAGACCGTATTCAACGTGCAGACTTAGCACTTTAAAGCTTTTATATCAACAATAATAATTGGGACATTTTGGCAATCAACATAGGGATAAGATGGGCATTCAATTCTAAATAATGATCACGGTTCTCACCTGCTCGCCCAGCTACAGCAGAACCACGTTGCCCTCAGCGCGTCGGAACGGACGTGGCAAAGCAAATGATAACATTATGAATTACTGTTATAGCTATGTCATTATTTTAACAATCGCAATGCGACGATCATTATTATTGTAATTGTTGGTCCCGTGCTGAGGAAGGGGGGAACCACAGCGGCCGCTCCGGCGCCATGACGAGGGGCGATGTAAGTGCGCCTCTCATTGGTCAGAGTCACCCCAACAACAGCAGCCACTCTGATTGGACGAGACGTTTCTCCCGCGTAGCTGGGCGAGACTATTTGCGATTTGAAATGGGGGGGGGGTGGTTAGAATGTCTGAGTGATAATATAATTATTAAAATTAAGTAAAAAAAACACGAATATGCGCAGGATCGGCGAGACCCAGGCCGGTTTTTGTTTAATAAAATCTTGAATTGGCATGCGAGACAAGTTTGTTTAGAAAATTTCAGCTCGTTGGGCTTCGTAGATCCTAAGATATTAATCGTCAAAAATTTGAAAGACTATAAAACAGACAACAGGGAAAGTTCAATAAAAGTGTGTAAAAATGTGTGTAAAAAATAAGTGCGTAAAAATAATTGTGTAATTATAAGTGTAAAAATAAGTGTGTAAAAGTGTGATCATAAAAGTATGTAGGAATATAGGTGTGTAATAATAAAAGTGTAAAACTTGTGTGATAATAAAAATGTGTATAAAAAATTCAACCAATTGAACAATGGCAGCAAAATTAACAGGGCAACGACGTGCAGTCATGTGTGGGTGATTGATGATCATTGCTATATTTTTTTAGGTCACAAAAACACATAACAATGTGACTGGCAGCCACAGTTTAATTGCAAGACAACCACGGTGACTGCCCATCAGCTATTTCCATCAGAGCGACTTTTACGAATTCCACATGAAAGTGGTGGCTGAGAAGCACTCGCGTTCTCACGTACAGAGACAATAGTCGTGTTTTTCCCTTCCACGCAGTTTACATGAAATATGAAGACACCGGATAGAATTCATCCCCCCATACACAGATACGCCGTTGTTCTCGTGATGACAGACGAAGCAATGTTGTGTCCTTCAGTTTAACACAAAAAAGTGCTTTGCAGGGAAGATGCGGAGCTTTGCAAACTACAGCAGAGCATGCACGGCTGCTTCACACTTTGTATTTTTTTTACTATTATTGGAGCAGGTAGTCGTGGTTCGGATTAAATAAATAAAACGAGTCTTTGTCCACGAGCTTTTTGTCTTTAAAGAATGTCGTAGTAATTGAGGTCAAGTTAAGTGCAAGCTTTTAAACCAAAACACGTTGTTTGTTAAGAATCCAATGGTTTTGCACATTGACGCAATTCCTGTTGTTAATATAAATGACACAAATTTTAAAAAATGTGGACAACAGTACTCATTTTTGCACATGTGGGCGTATATAAAACGTCTGTTCTGCATACAATCCTCATTAAAATACTGGACCACGGCAAGTCTTACAATATACTGCCAATAAGTAGGTGGTTTGTAGTGTTTGTCTTTTCATAGGTAAATCAGTCATATCTCACATCTCTAGTAAATCTATTGTTTACGTAAAGGCGTTCTTGCATTGTCAGGGCACCAGATCTTGATTTCATAAGGTGGTACAAAAATGTTTCTTTAAATAGTTTTAAAATTATTTCCAGACGAACATTTACTTCTCTGTCTCTGTGAGCAAATAGGCAGGATTAGCCAACACTCCCCACGGGGTGGATAAAGTGAGCTCCACCTGGCGAGTCAACAGTAGCTGTCTTCATAAGACAGTCAGGCCCTTGTCGTAAGAATGAATAATATGATCTCCACTGCTGGATGATGAGGCCCAGCAGTGGAGGGGAGTACCCCGACGTTTCTCGTTCCTTTGTGTAGAAATGGACATGGGATGAAGCCTCGCAATAGGATGGACATTGGGATCAACAGCAGCAGCCATGGACAATCATCTGCTGGATGAAGGCATCCCTCAACCGCTGCCACCTCTCATGGACATGCAATGTAACAATCTACCCAGCACCTGCACATGGACTGATTTCACAGCTCCATCTCCTCTTTGGATTAGCCTCGGATGTGTTCCATTATTTGACTGCTACTCCATCGTTACCGATGTTGCCGTGGTGTTAATTATTTTAGCACTGCGGTATTTCGTTCACAAAGTTTTGTGAATTTCGCTGAACAAAAAATGTGTCGGGTGCTTATCAAGTCTGTCAAAATCAAATTGGGTTCAATTAGTTGAAACGATTGTGGAATGCTATGTTAATAACATTGCAACAACATGGTATTCTCATGAAATTAGCCACTAATGTGAATTTAAAGCATTATATACAGCTGTATATTTAAAGCGTCAAAGTGTATATGTGAAGGTGCCTTTGCGTATTTTGTGCGTGACTCTACGTATGATAGTGTGGCGATCTTTGGTAAATAGTGCTATGATTCCGGGGTCCTGGGTTTTATTTCTGGCCGTTCATACTCCCGGTAATTGCTATCTCAACTAGACTTGGCCCTTCCCCTAGGGAAACTTAGCCTAAAATCTGTAGAGTATTGTCAAGATTAGCCAAGGGGAAGGTGACTGAGAGTGGTACTGGCTAATATCCCCTTTCTCCTATGGCTAAAACAACACTTCTCCACTCTCGGTTCGGTCCAACAGTCTATAAGGCTAAGCAGGGTGGTGTGAGCAGCGGGGGGGGGGGGGGCGGACGCGTGCATGCACGCACGTGATTGTGTTACACAAGCACAGACGGTAAAGGTAGAAGAGAGGCATGGAAGGGGCAGGGGTTAAAGCGTTCCTTCTGGGCTCTGACACCTCCCAGCAGTGCTGCCCGTGATGGACAGATCTCATCACACCGCCTTTAATTTGGTAAAAAATTGCATGTGGGCCGATCAATAGCTGTCATAAGAAAATGCAGGAAGTGAGCAGTTTTGCTCGGGAAAGGGAGGCCTGCTCCCCGTGACCACTCGGAAAGCTGCCAGTGAATTAAGGGAACAAAGACTCATTTTTTTTCTTGGTAAGTCACTTAAATGAGATTTTTTGACCATTCAGAGCTTTTACTTGACACATTTTTTTATACACTCCAGTTTCCTCTGCTCAAATGGATAAAATAAATGTGCAGCACTCTCTGAATGACTTTATACATTCCACATGCACATGTGTTTACAATTCAGGTGCTTTGGGCCTGAAAACATACATTCAGAATTAAAAAAGGATTGCTTGTATTGATTTTATTACATTACAAAAATATAAATAAATCCCTTCACGGCCCCTATAAATAAATACAGCTATAGCATTCATTGGAAATACTGTACACTGATTTAATTTACGACAATGGAAAAGCTATTTTTCTGCTTAAATGTAAACAAGAATATGTTTTATGCTTTATTGTCACAGTAAATCTTTCACAAATGGAAATATTTTATCAACAACCACAATTGACAAATATTTCCAACTGTACCAGCTGCTTATTTTGAAGTTAAATCCCACAGCAATAATACCGGTTTCCTGGGACCCTTAAAGAATGCTGGGAATTCTAGATTTTAGTTAGTTCTGGGTCCTGGAACAACAGGGTGGAGGTGGACCACCAAGTAACAAATCATGTACCCAGCAAGCTGGTCTTGGTGTTGGCCTATTACCCACAGGGCCTAACCAAAATACCACCTTCAGTCACCTCGTGATTTAAGCTGTTCGGCAGAGTTTGTGGTGCCAACATTTCCAAAACGTCCAGTTGCGGCCCGGTGGCCCAGTCCAACCCTAATCTGGATTCTAACAAAAGCAAATGTGCAACGAACGCATATTTTGTTACTACATGAGACGTTACCTTTTGCTGCTGCTGGCCGCCGTGTTTTTTGCTTCACATGAACCTGCCACTAAGCTTCTCTAGGTCTAATTCCAAATGTTTTTTTAAATAATATTCCACATGTTCTACACAGACAACAGGAACCCTTCAAATTGAATTTGCCACACCTGCCTTGTTGACAGCTGTTGTATAACTATCAGCTGCACAGTATTTCATTTAAAGTGCGTCGTGGAAATTCTGTAATCCCATTTTAGATGTAGCCTGATTTTCAAGATGCACCTCATCAGGAAACGCCAACACACAAACGCACAAACACGGCCATGCCTGACCTTAATTATATCAATCTGGATTTCCTTATTGACACATTCCTCTGCCATATAATTAAATAATTATATACAATTTCCATATTTGCTGATCATGTTTGCTTGGCATTCACATTTTGGATATGTAAGTGTGCTCTTTCGAGCAAGCTTTTCATGCTATTTCTTGATTAGAGTATGCATTTTTATTGGTAACATACAGATTGGTGATGACACATCTCAATAGTGGAGAAACAACAAATACACTTGAGGCTTTCCCCTATAATTGAATGGACATCCCAATGGAATTTTATGATTTAAAAAGCAATGATTTTTTTGCCTTTAGCAAAGGAAATATGGCAGCTCAAACTGAGAGGACAGAATGTAACCTTGATTTCTTCATCTGTAGTTAACCATCGATTTTTCGCCGGTTAAATTTTATTACGCAAACAAGAAAACAACATTCACCGACCTTGATGCACAACTAAATTAATGTACAGAATTCCATTTTCTTAATTTTCCTCTTGCTTCGTAAAGTTATGTTTGGCGCAGATGACACGACTATAGCGTGCCAGTTGACATGTTACGTTTTAAATAAAATGTTTAAAATGAAAGCCATTTGCATACACTCTCTGACTTCAAGTGAATGTTTGATTTTCGTCACAAGCCACTGTTCAAAAAATCACTTTTACCCTTTTTTATATAAATAAAGCGCAAACTGATTAGGTCTGGTATACTCTCTGACGGGACGGCAAAATAGGCTGAGCTGCGTTTGTGTTCGTCTCTGCTGCACTCGTGACCTCATACACTCATGTGGCCATTACTTTTCGCCGATGCTTGACAACTTGTGTTGGCAGCCGCTGCCGACTGACGGCAGAGATCGAGAAATGGGGCGCTTCAAGTATTTTAACCTTAACGCACCTTAACCCTCGTAATTGGCCGCGCAGC